TGGCCTCCTAGCTCCCTGGGTGATGGCACTGGGAAATGCCCAGCTGATGACAGCACAGCCCTTATCTGCTCATTGATTTGGAGCAGAAGCTCTTTGGGAAGCTGCAGTGGAAGTGCCAGACTTTGGCTGCTTTTCAGGAAGCTTATTCTTATCTCCCAGAGACAGAGGACTTTAAATGAAAAAGAGTTTTAACCTTTGCCATGACTAGTAAGAGCCTGATAAATTTTAAATGCAGATACCTAAAGGTAGATAGCAGGAAACAAATATGTATCACTGATTTCAAAAATCTCAGATTTTGAGACAGCCCTGGTTCTTAGAGATGTGTTTGTGCTTTCTGCCTGTTTGTATTGGGTTTTTCTTATGTTCTCACTTTTTGGAGTGTTTTGCACTTGCAGCTCAGATCTCAGGATAGGTTTTGCTGAACCACTTGGCTGGAGCTGCTGAAGCTCCCCCCTGGGCTGACCAGTTCTTAGTTTGTGGCCTTGTCATGGTTCAAACTCCTACTCTGAGTGAGATTGGATTGTCACAGACCACTATAAGGAGTAGGAGAGTAGGAAGCAGAGAGGTTAACACTTTATTCACATTTATGGCAGGTTAAGATAAATGTTATTAAAGCATTACTCATCATGCAAAGAAAGATTATCATGCAAAGGCAGTGCAGGCAACTGGAAATGGGGGGCGAAGCAGCTGACAGCCGTGATACTATTTGTCAACCACTTATTGCCCTCACAGACTTTTATCCCCATGGACCAAGCTGAACTTTCAGATCTATATTAAGATACAACAGGCTTTCTGAGACATGATCTCCAGATACAGAAGGATTGCTGACCTCCAGCAATTTGCCCTAAAAAAAATGCGAAAGGACTCGGCCTGCAACCAGCTCCCCAGAGAGGTGCTCTGTGAACCCTGGGGTGAACCATGGGGAAGGGGCTGGGTTCAATTTACTGTTTGTTCTTTAGTAGGTGGGAAGGCAGCACATGTGCTTGATGCTGGAAGAAAACAGATCTGCACTGAATACCTTTGAGACCTTGCAAAAATATATCCTCCTGTCTCTGAAGTGTCAGCCTTCCAAAATAGGAGCAAGGAGCTGCAACAAGGCAGCATCTGCTCCCCTGGCTACAGCTGCTGACCTGCCAGGCAAGGCAGGGTAAGACCACTGTGGGGGAAAGATGCTCCCACCTCTGAAACATCTGAAGTCTCCTCAGGACATGGCTGTAAACACCTACCAAAATGGAAAAGAAGAGCTCACACCGAGGACCCTGTGCATAGGGCAGTAGTTGAATCCCTGTGCCTGACGTGGTACAGATCAGCCACAGGTCAGAAAGCGGGGGGGGAATCAGGCCCTGTGTGAGAGTTCCTTCACCAGCAAAAGTCCACAGGATGGAGCAGTCCCAGAGCCCAGACCATTCCCATCTGCTGGAACAGCTGGGAACAGCCCTACTCTCAGAGTTGCTGGGGGCATCCTTGCTGTAAAGTGCAGGACTGCAGCCACCAGGCAAATGGGCTCTGGTCTCTGTCTGCTCTGAGCTCCAACAGGGTTGGTGGGGGGAGACCAGCCTCTGGCCCTGGCCCACTCTTTCTGATTTACACAGGAAAGCTGTTTAATGCAGTAAAAGTCTCACAGTGAAAGACACACAGACACTTAGCTTTCCAGAGAAATTGATGCTAATTACATTGTTAACCCCACTGAAACCTGGTAAATCCAAGACTGCCTGTGACCCTGGAGAAATGACAGTGTTTTATCGATGGCCAGTGGTTTGGTCTGGGACTGGGCAAAGATTGACAGAAACTGAGAAGTGCCCTGCGAAGCCAACCACTCCCTCTCCCTTGGCAGCATCAACTGCAGCGGCAGCACCGGCAGCAGATGGCAACTGCAGCAAGGCATTGCATTTCTGGAAGGCTTCTTCCAGAAGACCTCAAAACTCAACATAAAATTCAGGTTAAATTAACCTTAAAATGTTGCAGGTAGGGGGAAAATGAAGGTTACAATTTTCAAGCGTGCCTGTTTAATTTGGGTACCCAGTGCAAGTGGCTCAGGGGGTATTTTCACAGATGTTCAGTCCCTGTGGTGCAGGTGAAAGTTGTAGAAATTCCTCTGAATATGAAGATGTCGAGCTAACATCTCAGAGCAGAGCTACCTGCAATAAGTGGAAACACTAGAAAATGAAACCTGAATTTTGCCTAGGGCCATATGGGAAGTTTGTATTTGATTGAGGAATTTGCACAGTTCTTCTTGATGACTGCTATGCTTTGACAGGCTCAGTCCTGCTTTAAAATTTGGTGATAATGAGGATGTGTGAGTACTTTTAGTTTCCCTCCTAGATATTTCTGTAATTAAATATGAACAGCATTGACAGTACCTGTTATGTAAGCTACACAGCCCATAGTATTTTATTAGTTATCAGGTAAAAAAACCCCCAACTTTAAGAGGTCAAGAAACACCACCATGTGGAGAGTTTGGGGATGTTTTAATAATATTCTTAATATCGTCTTTTCTCCAATATGGGTTTTGGTGGGGTGGGGGGTGTTTCTTTGCTAAATATGTTAGTGGTTTTCAATGCCCACCACAAAGTCTAACTCAGCAAATCCCCCCATGGCTCAGCTGCTGTGGCTGCTGGGGGACACAGCAGGAGGGCAGCAATGCCCAGGGATGCCAGGGGGCAAGTCAGGTCAAGCATCATGTCTCCATCTGAGATGATCTGATCACCCTGCTGAATATGATTACTCTTTGCCCCAGGAAGGAAGAGCAGAAGCATCCTCACACATGACCCACCAGTGGCCATTTTGGGCATAATTTAGTTGAAAGAGAAGCTCCACAGCCCTCAAATCTGGCTGCCACCGTAGCAGTCTGTGACACAAGCCCAGCTGCTACCACATGGCCCATGTGTGCCTGTCCCAGTCACGAATGGGAAATCAGATTTCTGTGCCCAGCACATGGCCATCCATGTGTAATTTATTTGTTACTTTTTATTTATTCCTTCTCTGGAAAGAACAAAAATGTACAATCTCATTCATATCTTTAGGGAAAGAAAATGTCTGTATGAAATCATATTTGTGTGGTCCTCTTACAACATCCTGGTAAATCAGAGGAAGTTTGAGGTCTAGATGCTTACAAAAAGAAATCTTTGCTTCTGGAAGCATGTAAGTTTTTAATCACCTCCTACATTTCAAAGCCTAGGGCTCATATATTTATCTTTGCGTACCGCAGGCATCTTTTCATCGAAGAGCTCTCTATTATGAGCTTTTAATATTAACAGATATATATAGTCTGTCTTCCTCTCCAAGGACCACAATTTTCTCTGTACTCTACAGGGAGTGACATGCAGAAGCACTTCAGTAAATCTATGGAGGCAAACGGTCCTTCTTTTCTGACATCCTTAGGGGAAGCCCAGAGTCAGCAACTCCTAAAGGCCAATAGCAGCAGCTTTGAATGATCTTTAACACATCTATTTCTATCAGAAATCCAATATCCTTTATATGCTGAATAACACTGTTTATTTAGCTTGTAATGAAAGTTACACATTTGTTCCAAGGAGCAGTGGGATCCACGACTCCCCTTTGCAATTAGAGACTACGTGAAAGAAATTTCAGAAGGAAATTTAAGCTAAAGTACACATCATGCAAATGCAATAGTTAAAGTATTATGTAGGACATATTAATTTTTACTAAAACTGATGGCCAGAAATTGACTTGCATTTGAAGTTTTAAGGCAAACATAAAATCTCTGCCTTCTTTGTTTCTACTCAGTTTGGTTTATGTTTAACGTAGTCTAGATGTTCCTTAGCTCTCCGGTCATCTGTGAACCAATCAGTACATATTTCTCCCCACCCAGTCTCCATTCTGCTAAGTCCGTAGGGGATTTCCAGTGGAAATAGAAAGTTTTCACTTATGTTTAATTAAGAAATCAAGACCTATAAATTATCTTCCTTTCCATCCTAAATAGACATCTACCAACACACAAATACTGTTGGTCACCAGGAAATCTCTGTCCTGATAGTGAGAACAACTGGTGCTTATTTTCACCATCCCCGCATGTTCCTCTAAGGATGACACTACTTTAAATACATGTTTCTATTAGCAGCTAAACCAATTTATTCTATGCTTTCTACCTTCAAAAAGCAGCTGTCTCAGATAATTCCTTGGGTACCCTCAGGACGTATCAGTTCCATGCTGTCACACACATTTATGCCTAACATTTAGAAACCATTTCAAACATTGTCATTCCCTGAAAAATCATAGATGTGTATGTCTATCAAAAGATAAGAAAACCATATAGGAAACCATAAATACTGATTTCAAAGCATATAACTGGTTTTTAATCACTTTAATTTTTTTTAAGTAATTGAAAGCCTTGGTTGTATCCCCCTCACCTTTTCCTGAAACTTAGAGAATTTTCAGACCATGCAGTAGAGCTGTTCCTATTTCTACTAAAAGTCATTTCAGAGTGAATTCATCCTCTGTCACTGACTCACATCCTCTTTAGCAGCATTAGGCATAAGCCCAGATCTTAAAACACAGGACCATGCAGCCACTGTTAGAAGACCATCAGTGCAGATTGTATTTCATTAAGGCAGCTGCAATCTTACTGAAAAAGATGGCAAAACATTTCTATATTTGTAATACAATCTCATGGGCTCTTTTCTCAATGCAGACCTCCAGAGCAAACATTTACACTACTGTTTACATCCTTTCGCCTCCATTATACCTAAAAGTTACCTTTCAACAGTTCTGCTTACACAGCCAGGAGTACAGAATCAGCCAGGTTTTCTTGTAGCACCTGACAGCAGAAGCAAAAGAAGCTTTTCCCCATTCAATTATTTTTAAGATGTCCACATTGAACAGGAACAAATAATCTAACCGCTCATGAAACACAAACTTCAACAGGAGAGTAAAACAACTGCTGATACTCACTACTATGGAAGGTCACACAGCCAAGGTTGTTACATTTTTTTCTAAAGCTTTAAGTGTGATTTATGCAGCCTTAGGGCATAAGCTCTTACCCAAGACCAAGGGGAGCCAATGGGGGTCTCTGGCTGGTCTTCCTCTTCAGATGACATCCTGAGCTTATAATTTTTCCCCGTTCTCCGCATACGCCAGTAAAACCACTCTTGGTTGCTGCCATATACAAAAAGCTGCCTTCAAGTTTTAGCTGTAGACAACAAAGCTGCAGAGAATATAATTTCCCAGTGATCGTGTTTGCTTGCTAATTTTACCTGCCGAAGTTCTTGGAAGCACAGTCAGAGCAAGAAACCTGAGCTCAGTAAACCAGAGCACACTTTCCTTGCAACTGACTCCTCAAGTGTCCTAGTTCAGTCAAAAGGTTCAGTGAAAAATTAGAGCCTGACAAACACAAATTCTCTTCCAAACAATCAGTACCCTTACTTGCATATGAGATTTTATGGGCAGACAGTTTGCCAAGTTATAAACTCTGGAAACAGAATATAAGGAATTTTTACTGACAACATTTTATTCCCATCATTAATTATATTTCTGTATGGATTTTAATAGTTTGATTTTGCTTTCAAGACAGGTTCTTAATGCCAAAATCTAATTCTGCCTTTCTGCATAGTTGCACAGCTCCACAATAATAACTGTATGTGTGTGAAGGCAGCACAGCTTTTCTGTTCTTCTGTGCAATAACATTTGAAAGAGGATCGTTTTCTTTGCCATTTGTTCCTTTTGTTTTTCTCTTTGTGTCTAGTTTGGTACCAGCATGTAGAATCCAATTATCATAGATCACATGCTATGTAACTTCAGATAAACTTGTCCTGATGCCTGTGAGACTTCTGGCTGGCTGAGGGGACAACTGAGTCCAGCATCTTGAAATCACATCTGGCAGCTGGCAGGGATAGCAGCTCTGTCACCAACATCAGGCCTGAGGTTTTGTGCCCAAACTGACCACTAATTCACAGATATTATATGCTTTCAAATTCACAACCTGTGGCTTGAATTTTATTATTTATTATTCCTCTGCTTATAAGGCATCCAGCTGCAGTAGCTGGTGAAATAAAACTACCATCAAAACCCCTGAACCTTCTGTTACGTGTCTGACTTTGGTCAAAGGCTTCTAAATCTTTCCACTGAATTATATAATGAAATGAGCTATTTATAGCACCCCACTGCAGGAGAGTCCTAGTGTTAGCTAGAAGCTGATAATGCTTATCAAATGAACAAATATGCCCAGCTGTGCTTCATAATTAACCTTAAGCTATATGCAAATTCAGTAAGTAGGAAAATTAGCAATTGATAGAAAAAGAAAACTTTGAGAATAATGGCATTGAGTAGATAAACAGCCTGTTGCTACTGCGTGGTCTCACCACTGTGTCACTAAGCTGGGCAGCACGTAAAGATAGAGAAGACTAGAAAGTGACAGCCCCCTCTGACAGCTGGGCAGCCCACCAGGCATCATCAGCTTGAGGATTAGGGTGTCACAGTCGCACAGGCCATGATTTGATAGTGTGTCATTTTCAACTGCAACATCAGCATCAGCTGGACTTGCTTCTGTCATCCTCCTTATCCCGAAATACAAAATGCAGGGCTTTTTAAAGTCTGAAACAGTTTCCTAAAACAATTTATTCTGGGGTGTCAAGAAGAGCTGTGACATCCCAGCTGACAGGGAAGTTCACTGCTGTGTGGAGTTGTTTTGGGAGTATTGGGCATGAGTTTTATTCCTGTGTATCAATCAAAACTAACACAGCTGCTAAACTACTGTGAATGCCTGACATGGCAAAGGAAATATCAGTTTGTATCACAGGACAAGCATTAGGTGCAGGCAACACTCTCTCAATTCACTCCAGTTACTCATTGGGCCTATGAGAGTCTGCTGGGCTGCCCTCAGCATCCCTCAGGCACTGTCACACTGTCATGCTCTGACCTGCTCCTGCCCCTGAAACTCTGCCACTCTGGCCCACTGGTACCAGTCCCTGATGGACTTTCCACCTGATAAGTGTCTTAGGATCACAGAACAGTGACGTGGAAGACATATGAAAGAGATTTTCAGAAAAAAGGGTGCTTACTCAGATGCTTTCACATTTCACATTAGAAACTCTGAATCTGAAGTGACCCAATAGCCAAGTCACCCTCAAGTTGTAGGATAAATCTCCCAAGAGAAAATAGCACAGCACTTAAGTTACCAAGATGCTCAAGTTACTCATTTCTGTTGTACACCAAATGTTAAGATTGTAAGCACAGAAACCCATTTATTAGCTATCTGACAGATCACATTTTCTTTCTGGAACAATTTCAGGGAAGGAAATTCAATACAATTCTTCTTATTTCAGATAAACAGGGAATGCCACACCTAATGAATTTCAATAGCATTCCTGCCTCTGCTGAAAGGTCTATTCACTAAATATGAAAGATAGGAACCACTGTTTGCTGCAGTAATTTTCCACTGTCCCACCCATTTCTTCTGATAAATTTACTTTCAAGCTGTGATGGGTAAGTATAAAAATCTATTAGAAATAGCATTTAAATAATTGTAATATGTTTCATATTGTTTATTTATAAAATTCTTCGAGAAGTGGGTGTGCATCTTTCTTAGCACACTGTATTTCTGAGGCCTTTGTCATTTTCTGGACTGTCCAACCTCAGGATCTTTCTGCTTTCTCCAGGAAGCACTAACAAGTGCAAGCATTTCTTCTGTGCAACACAGATGCATCCAATGACCACTCCTAGATCAATGCATCTGGTATCCCATGTCCAAGGGCGACCATCACCAAACACTTCTGATGAATATATCCAGAAACTGAATAATAACGAGATGTAAAAGGAACTTGCTCTGTAATTTTTATATATTAGGACAATGGTTCCCAGACTTTTCCCAAGGTTGCCACCCCCACTACATGCTTCCCATCCCACCTCCTGCTGTCATGACCACTGAGCCAGGCCATTGTTTCTTTGCCTTCTTCCCAGTTCTCACAATCCCAGCAGCTGCTTTTTCCTTCCCTCCCTTCTCATTTCCCCACTCTAAGGACTTCACAACTTTATTGCTACCTTCCCAGTTTGGTTTTCAACTGAAGACAAATGTGGAACACGGGCTGACACAAAATTGACAGATGTTCTCAGATTCGCACTGCACACAGGCTTCATATTGGTTTTCAGATACCTGCTCAGCCCATAGCCTCTGTGAGATTCTGTAGCAACAAGTTTCACTGGATAATTATGCACTGTAAACACAAGTTTTGATGTCGGTTTTAAACCACGTCTTATGATTTCACTACATGATGACACAGGGTAAACAGGAGCCTGCTTCTTTTTATAAACCACGCTTGCAAGTGCTGTATCATGAGAAGGAAAAAAAATGTTTGTAATCATTCCAGAATATTTAAATATAGTAATATTAGCTCATGGTAACCTTCACATGAACTTTATTTTGTGAACTGATGAGATTATGTTATCTTGTTTTTAATAGTTGTTCAATGCGAAGATTAATTTAAGATATTTTTAAATACAATCACAACTCTACTGTACTGGGACAGTGTCACTCTCCTAAAATAGTTTTACTTTCTCCAGTTTTTCCACATTACTGCAGTTGCCATGGACAAAGTGTATGGAACTAAACACCCATGGCAATTCATAGCATCATGTATCTGAAACAGGGCTAAATTAAGAAAGCAAAAATAAAATCTACCTAACATAGCTGCTTAGTCATAACTTTCCTGGTTTGCATCTCCTGCAGAGGTAAGGTTCAAGATGCTGCATATTCAGATCAAACACAAACCATCAAACAGGTGCCAACTTGTCTGGGAGAGATCTTCCAGATTTATGGCTGATAAATAAACATTATTTACAAGAATAATTTAGGTTCTAGTAGAAAGAAATCACACCATCAACAAAAAACAAAGGTTCTGTGTGTTTGCAAAAGCATGTACATGCAAAGGTATCTTATGATATGGAATCAACTCCAGACCATATACATGCCCCACTAACCTGTGAGGCAGTATCTGTTCTCCAAACTGCTACTGGTCCCGATATGTAATAACAAGTAAAAACTCACTTTCCTATTAATCCTGTTGTCTCTGAGTATAAAGAAAATTGTTAAGTTGCTGTTAACAGCACCACTCAACATTTTCTACAGCACTACAGCACACATTGCCAGAATAATAATTCTTAGTATGCTCAGTGTTTAAATGCATAATCAACACATCAGTCATGTAATAAGTGTGGAGAGATTTCCTTCTGTTTATATTACTATATAAGTCTAAATCAAAAATTCTAAGTTTTCTTTAAGATTTTAATCAAAACCACATTTATGTATGAAGCAGCTTTATGAAGTCTCTCTTTAAATCATGCCAATTGATTCCCAACACCTTTTTCTCACTGCACAGGAACCTTGCTGTTATATCCAACACCCCATCACCACCTTGCCAAATATGTCAGCAACGGGCAATGCCAGTATTTGGACTATTGCTTCAAAACTCCCAGAGCTGTGACCTCCACAATCATCAATGGTAATTTGGGGAGCTGTCAAAACGGGACTGAAAATGCTATGAAAGCATTTGCAAACTGCCAGAAACGCTGAGTATTTCTTCAGGTGCAGACTGGAGCAGGTATAAGGGACAGAAGACAGTCAGCAGGCAGAGGATGTGTGGGACTAGTTTTACTTTTCATTGTAAAGTTTTACCCTTAAGGAAGTAGAAAAATTGGAAGAATATGGATTTTATTTTGTGCTGCCTATCCACCATATTTCAGTGATAGCTGATGAAATATTAAGACTGGTTCTTGAGGGCTGGGGGATGATGTGGCAGCAGAGGACTCTGGTGGGAGAGTTGAAAGGCAGCGTGGCAGCTATATGTGGGTTAATGTGGTGAGAGGCTGTGCCATGGGGCTGTGGCGGGCTGTGCTCACTGGCCAAGTGATGCATGGCAGAGGGATGCAAGCAGAGGTTGGGCTTTATGACAATTGCAATGAATTACCACCCTGAGAAACAGCTCTGGCACAGTCAATTATGCTACAGGCACTGTAGCAGTGGCTGGGGAATGGACCTTAGGAAGGAGTGATGTCTTGCAATCCCCACCAAGCCCTACAGCTGGCCCAGTCGAGCAGCCTGTGGCACGCGGCTGGGACTTGTTGAGCTGGGTGCTCACCCCACCCACATGAATTCCAACTGCCACAGAAATCCAGATTCTTTCACACTGCACACAGTCCCTGCCCACAGTCATT